GGAGTTGAAGTCCACTTATCTTAAAGCTGCGAAGCTTGAGAAACACTGATTTAAGGAGACAGCAGGCTTAGCTATTCAGGTTGCAACAAGCCACAGCTTATGAATAAGCCACGACTGGCTGGGATGGCACCTCCTGGAAACCTAGAGCCCCCATTTACTAACCCCAATGCCCGAGTCGGCGCATGGCACAAAGCCACAAGGGGACAACCACACCCTGCTCGGCACCCATGGGTGCTCCGGTCGGCCCCCAGCAACTTTCCAACCCAAAAGCCAAGCTTTAAAAGCCAGGCTTGGAAATGGTTCTCCGTTCAAGCTCTCACCTGTCCTGGGAACAGCGAATAGTTCGAGAGCTCGGATACGTCAACCGGGATTAGGGCCCCCGACGAGTGTTCACGGTCCCCTTCGAGGATGACCGATTGGGGGTTCAGCTTCCCGTTCGAATCGCAACCAATCTGGCCTAAGACGGTCACAGGCTCCTTCCCGCGGGCATGGAAAACACAGAAATGCCCAGTCAGAGACGCACTCTGGCTATCTGGCTGGCCTTGTCTGGACCCAGTGAGGAGATGGATGGGAGACCACTAAGAAATCCCAAAGCAATTGTGGCTAGGTTGGAAAAGGCCGGGGCAAACCAGCGTCCTATTACTAAGAAAATTTAAGCCACCCAGGGTTATGTTGGAGTTGGGTGGCATCTAAATGTAAATTTAAATGTAAATCTCTGTGATATGATATGAATGCATCCATAAAGTCACCAGGAGTCAGGCTGAATTGGAAGGAGGTTTAAATCAGACTCTCATAACCCTTGGATGAGCCTGAAAAAAGATTGGCTTGTCTTTGGATGAGAGACCACCAGGAAATCTATGGAAGCAGGTTAAGCAGACACAAAAGGAGGCAGGGTCACGCCACTCCTATACTGTTGTGGAGAAAACAACCCGGATAAGTCCAGGAAGACACCAGGAACCACAGTTGGATGCAAACGAGACTTATGCCCTCTAGAGGGCAGCACTTAATTGAGTGTAGCTGATCTCAAAATGCTGAACAAGGTCAGACTGGTTAGGGCTTGGATGGGAGACCACAAGGAAACCCCGCAGCAATAGGTTATATTCAGAAGTCAAGAAAACATGCCAGAAAAAGGGAAAGGAAACCACTTCCATGTTGTTGCCAAGAAAACAACAGGAACGTGTCTACGAAATGAAGCTCAACGCAAAGGAGACCTGATTTACAGTTCTGAGTGCCCTTCTTTTTAGGGTGGAATTCATTTTAACCCCGTTGATACAGGTGTTCTAAAACAATGCAACAGCTGGACCTTTCCCACCCCAGCCACCCCCTGGATGCTGGGTATTGTAGTCCCCAAGTGCCGGTCGCACATGGAAAGAGGGGGGAAAAAATCAGGAAAAAGAAATCTGAATTTTGATTCATCAATGTCACAAACGTTTAAAAACGGGAACCTTTCCCTCACCTGGAGCTTGGAGATGACGCACTGGAGCTGAGGCTAAATGTCCCCCCTTCCCTGCCTAGTTCTAAGAACATTCAAATGTCCCAGCTTTGCAAAAATAATAGATCACAAATTAGGGCACTGGGAGAATTCAAGAGA